CATCGTATATTCGGGTATTTTTAGTTTTGCGCCGCCTCTGAAAAGGTTTTATTAATAGCTGTTGGGTATTTGTATAAATGAACTAGAAATTATTTCATACTTTTTAGTGCATTTCGAAGTCGGTTGTATTTTTTGTTAAAAATTATTTTATTTCACACTTTTTAGTGGAACGAGCAGTATTTATAGGATGCCGTAAGATGGTTTACCGTTCTTATTGGTTAATTGCAATAACGATAGTTTTTAACGATAACAATTTCCATACAAGTTATAACAATAGTTATTAACAATAACAAATCGCATAAATTTTTGCAAGTGAGATATCGCGGAAATATCTCCTATTAGATGTGAAAGGTTTTATCGCAATCGGTACATGCCTTGGAGATTATACATTATACATGTATACAAGAAACAGTAGAGAATCGACGACTGCATGCTGACTCATACACCGGTATAGACATGTAGGCATACGTAGAATTCAATGTAGTAGTAACAATAGTTTTTCACGAATATCTCGGAAACTAAAGCTTTCCGTTAATTATGCATAATGAAAAAGTTGTTCAGAATCATGTCCCCGACAACATATTAAAAGATCATTGAAATCGTCCAATCTTGACATTAAAAACTTCCTGTATTTTGCAATAACAATGAAAAAATGAAAAATTTTTTTTAATGGGACCAATCGGAAGACACCCTACAAGATGCAAAAGGTTTCGTTCCGATTGGTCCATCCATCTCGAAGTAATCGGTCAACACACACACACACACAAAAAAAAAGAAAAAAAAAATACATACTGATCGAATTGAGTAACCTCCTTCTTTCCGAAGTCGGTTAAAAAGACTTAGAATCGCTGATACAGAATATAATAATTTTATCACCCAAAATTTTATTCTGAATGTCTAAGTTGTCTGTTTCATAAATGGATTATGTAATGACTGCATAAGGTTATAAAACTATAGGAGTATTATACATTATGAATTACATGTATCTTTTTGTCTTATTTAAAAGTATATCTATCATTCTGGTGGTATTCAAAGCATTTTACTACCCTATTTCATCTGATTGTTAATTTTAGTTAAAAATAAAAAATTACTAAAAAGTAATTGGAAATTACTAAATTAAAACAAGTGTTATAAATTTATTAAAACAAACTTTTTAATTATTAGGATCAAATTACTCAACTTCTGATTGCTTGGTAGAAGTTAAACATTTCGTGTTTTTTTAGAAACATGTCTATTTACTGAAATAGTACAATTGGGAGCGCACAGGATTAAGAATGGCACAGTAGTAAAATTAAAGTTTATTAATCTTGTTAATAATTAGAGGCTGAATAATTACTCATAGCCCTCAAGAAATCTTATATCTGAATAATAAATGTCTCGTGAAGTAAGGAGTCTTATTTATTATTTTAGTGTGACACAGTATCACACGATATCAATATTAGAGCAATTTTGTTAATAATAATTAGAGGTTAAGTAATTACCCTTAGCAGTCAAGAAATTGTATATTTTAATAATAATTACCTCGTGAAGTAAGAAGTTTTATTTATTATTTTGGTATATTGCAATATGTCATAGTACCTGTTAACGTTAAAGTTAATTAATTTTACTAATAATCAAAAGTTAATTATCCATAATAGTCATAAGAGCTTCTCATTCAATAATATATAATTATTTCATGGAGGTTTACTCCTCATTTTATCCGACTTTGTAGTACCATGTAATAACATTATCAAAGTTCATTAATTTTGTTATGAATAATAATAACAACAAACCTTATATTTTAATAACAATTATATTCTATAGTAAGAAATTTGATTAATTATTTTAATTATAAATTCAATTTAAGTTCATTTAATTAATATCTGCCAATACCGTGATGCATTAATAGAACCTCGATGCAAAATTTTTTTTCTCGTGTAATATATTTAGTATCAGTCACCATAAAATGAAGCAAGATGAAATTATTAAATTAAATGATCGATCCGAAACTCATTCGTTCTTTGTTTGCTCCTTTACACGGGCCAGAGAATCGTGTTGCTCTGTGTCTCGATCGATGATAATTATTCTCGTAAATTCGAGCATAAATGCAGGTAGCTAGGTTGGCGACGGGGTGAGAGGGGATCGGTAGGTTAAATGCTCGTAATGACGTCTCGTAATTGCATCGAAAGTTCGCGGGGAAACTGTAATTATCGCACGGCTGCAGTTTCAACGATACCATCGTTCGTGTCGCTACAATTGACGGAATGCAAACCACGACGAAAAATATTTTCTCCTTCAGCCTTATTCGGACGAGACTAATTCAAATTGAGGAAACCGGTCGAGTGTCGTGCAATTACATTGCACACCATTCATCTCAATCCGATAAAACAATTAACGCGAAAATAATTACAGTACTACCTATTAGAAAATGATTATATTCTTTTGAAATTTTCTTACTTTATTTAATCTTTTGATTTGATTAATAATTTTCTTTTTTTTTTAATGGTGTTTTGTTCTAAGCAAGGACATAGTCCTAACATATTAAGAAACCGAATTTTCTTAACGTTTCAACATATCAAAAAGACGTTTCAGCATTTAATTAATTACTTTGTTAATGATACCAAGATCTGATTAAGATTCCTAGGGTCTGACTGAGTCTATTAGACCTTCAAGGGTACCTTTGGCTGATAAACTTGGTTCAAATAGTAAAATTTATTCTAAATAAAATGAAATAACATTTAATCGTAGAGAAAAAGGTAATCAGTAAAAAAAATGTTATTCGATATTTTTTGGCTTGATAAATGAAAGACTTGTAACGGGGCTTCCTTAGACTTGCCTTTAATTCGGCGCTGAATGATATACATGCTGCATATTTTGAAAAAATTATACAGCTTGTTACGAGATAGTGATTAGACTATTCTAAGATCAATAAAAAAATATGAGTCACACAAAATAAGATACATTTTTCTCAAATGTGTTGAAATATAAGGACAATTGACTCAGGGAGAGCAGTACTAACAGGTGTTGAAATTGCTAATTTTTCTTCATCATGCTTAGAGAATAATTTATACTATGCATTTAATTTAAGGGGAAACTTCCGAAAGGCCTCCTACCCTAGGACAACCAAACTTCGGATTTATACTAATTGAGGGACGAGAAATCGAACGAGACCATTTTCAGAGCTGGCAAATAAACCGTTCTCGAGATATACAGGGTATTCTAAAAGTGTGGGACCCCCCTATTATCTCGATAAGAACGCATTTCCACGGAAAATGACTAAAACAAAAGTTGTAGGGGTCGTAAAGTATTATCTTTCGGCCGAGACGACTCTGTGTCTTCATGGTGCGGTCAAGGGGTTCATTGTCGCCCTTTCCTTTGTGTCCGGCTGCGGGAGGATCACCCCATATAAGTACCCACCTAACATAAAACTAGCACTGAACTTAGGATTTTTGAACTAAAAAATTTTTAGTTGTGATCACTTTCCGTTTATCTCTGTATATATTCCGAATTTAAAATTTAATAAAAAATAACATAAATGTTATTTTTGAAAACAAAGAATCAAATAGACAAACAGTTTACTTCCGGCCCACCGACAATTAGTCGAAGGACTATTCGACTAGTTACGTTGATTTAAATAATTTATTTGGATGATCAACCATATTAATATTCATTATTCGGTCAATATCTCGATTATACGAACCATTGGCACTCTGATAATTATCTAGGTAAGCGTTCATTAACTCTGCGAACGAATATACAGGGAGATTCTCTCGGCGCGCAACACAATAGCCGCCCCGCACAATGGAACCCTGCTGTGTTTGCGGGCAAAAAGCTCAGGAGGTCAAGTAGCCGGACCCAAGACACACAGAGCAGTCTTGGGTCCGGCGACTTGACCTCCTGGGCTTTTTTGCCCGCAAACACAGCAGGGTTCCATTGTGAGAATCTCCCTGTACAATTGATTGATTTAAACTCTCCATGCACTGATACTTTCGATATTGTTACAATATAAATTAGTAAAATTTATAGAACTATTTAACCTTCATCCCTATAGTTTATTTATGAAACGTGGACGGAAGATCGGAGTTAAAATATAAGTATATTCATACGCGATTTTGAATAAGAAGAGTGCCTAATTCATTTTTAGGGTGAACTTTTAAGGATATTCAGAATTTTTGAAAATGTATCAATTGAATTATATTAAAGAATTACCTTAGTCGAACCTTACTTTGCAGGGGGTGCCATTATAAATCTTCCATTTATTTTGTCAAAACATATTGAAGAAATTTTTTTTACTGTTGCCCTTTTTCTTTATAATTAACTATCAACTTATTTTATTCAGAATAAATTTGAATTTCTGAACCAAGTTTATCAACCAAAGAGGTCCTCGAGTGGCCATGAAGGTTTGATAGTTCCGGCTCCCAGAAACTTTAATTTCTTGAGCTAAGAAAATTTTCTCCCCGTTCAATTGAAACTTTATTTAGCGATTGCTATTCAATGGTAGAGAATATATCCTAAGATGTAAATGTATTTAATAAAAAAATATTTATAAATCCGTACTAAAAAAATAATCTAAACTAAAACATTACAGAATGATTGTACATAAATTAGTAGAACTTTACCAAAAAATATTTAAATGAAATCAGTTATACTATTAAATTATAGTTTAATATATCCGACAAATTATTAAAATATATAACGATTACTTAAAGCATGAATGAACAGAAAAGTTTATTTTAAAACTATATTTTGATTTTGTTCCATTTCTGACATAGTTTTTAAATTTCATCTGTCTCTGTATCTACTATTGTTAAGTAAAGAAATCATTCATTTCTAAATAAATATTAAATAGAATTAACATTAAGTTTTTATATTGAAATTATTATAATATAATTGTTATATTGAGATTGTTCTATTACAATATTATTATATTTCATTTAATTAATTATTATCAAAGCATGTTTTACAGAGTCCTTAGAAAATTAATTTCATTATACCGTATAAGAAAGGATTAGTTTACTTACCCCGCTGAAGGTTTTCACGTTGTGCAGAGCATTCTGTGCATCCAGGGCTGCCTTTCTCGTGTAAAACGTAACGAAACAGCATCCTGAAACAGGAAACAAATATAATGCTTTGTGAGATAATTAATTGCAAAGAAAAGGAAACAATTATTCGTATTAATTTGCTTTTAATTTTAGTAAGTAACTGTCCATCAATTTTCATCGAAGAAACTCAGATTCTATTGATATGATACTTCCCTTAAAATTGTTAAAACGTTAGTAATTTAAGCATTGTCTTTAAAATTAGATTTCCACATGATAAATGACACTAGCAAGTACGTAGTGATTGTTTCTAAAAAAATTAAGTCACACAAATAAACTAATTTTTTTTAAAGCTTTTTTCCCCAAATAATTAATTTGAAAAATTCATCTCGATTGTCATACATATATTTTTGTTGATTTAGAATAATAGAGACAAGAAATGCACTAAAAGTAATTCATAGTATACAAAATTCTTCAAAAAGGTTGGTAAGTAAATATATATTATATTTAAATTAGAATTTTTATCCCACTAAATTGATTCTGATCAATAAAATTTATATTAAACAATAATTTGATTAATACAGCATATATTTGTACTAATCAGCACTAATTAATAATTCTTTTCAAATATTATTATGGTGAAAAGATAATTAAAAGAGTACGAACATTAATTAAATGGATAAGTTGAAGAACAGTAGAAATCCAGAAGTCACAACTTGAAAAATCTGGAAAGATAGCTTTAGTTTTTGTACATCATCAACGCTATGGATTTTACAACGTTGTCTCAATTTAAGTACGATTATGTTTACATAAGTGAATGTTAATATATGCCTAATTATAACTATCATTTTTCATAAATTTCCAATAATTGAAATAAAACCATTGGACTTGTACTGCTTTTCTACTCAAATTAGTTTTTAAATTAGGAATTTAACTTATTAACTTGCTTTAAACATAATTAAAATGGAAATTTATTAATGATAAATGATCATAATTATTAAAGTAAAATTTCAGTACGATATTAAAAAAAAGATAGTTATTACTTTACTATTCGGTAGCAGTGTTTTGATAGGATGCTTCGTTTGGAATGTAGTTCATTAATTTAGTCTCATCTTAAATTTTATTTTTTGTATTTGCTGGTTTTATATAACAAAAAGCAGATATTTAATGTACATATTGTATTGTTAATTTCATTAAAAAAATTTTCAGGTTTTTATAATTTCCAAGATATTAATAAAACAATTTCTGTAACTCCAAATTTTAAGGATGTTATCACCATTTTTAACCTGAATAATTGCTGCTTATCAGATATTTTTTTCCAGTTCAATATCATAAGAAAATTGAATCAAAGTCAACATTAACCATTTCTATAATCCCATGAGACCCTATTAGACCTTCCTTACACACGCCGGAAGGGGCTAATATCGATATCGGAAAGTATCCAAAGACACTCGATACGGTGACATGCAATCGATAGGAGTGACAAGTTCGATATAGAAAACAGTCGAGCAAGTCGGTCACTCTTGGGGAGCTCATCAAGGCTTTTCCGTCTCCCTTCGATGTCGCAGCTGGACACCATCCAAGTCAGAAACGGATGGGACAGGTCGATAGTTGCCGGAACTTCGATACTCTGTTGTATTACCACCGATACTTTGTCCCTTTACGCTATCTAACAGTGACTTGCTGGGTTACCTCCATCCCCTTTGCAAAGGGTAGTGGACAAGGTTGAATTCAGAGAGTTACATCCTTAAGGAGCGTTCAGACTAATCAAGTAACTGGTTAATGGGAATAGGCAAGTAGTCAATTCGAATATTTGGGTTTCTTGTCTTGCTTGTGCAGTAGACTCTTGATAACTTTCCACACTCGGAGCTGTAGGGGAGGAAACTTAACAAATGCCCTCGCCACAAAGCTAACGTACGGAAACGGCATATAAACAAGAGATAAAGACAACATAATGGAATATTTCCAATACAATTGAATATTCTAACAAATCACACGCATGAAAAACAGTGTACTAGGTGATGTGATTAGTATTAGTAAAAGTACATGTGAAGAATAATGGGCTTCTGAGGAAAATTAGCGAACAGAAAGTTATCAGGAGTCTACTGTATCAGTAATGAGGCCTAGATAAGGAAGAACTCATTTCCTTTCCTTAGAAACATTAATTCTCACATGATTTGATAACATGAAAGTAATGCAAAATAACCCTTACGTTATATTAATTTGAAGTTCAAAACTTTATCACAATGACCATATGTTTATTAATATTTTTAATATAATTTAGCTAGTTTTCATTGGACCAAACAATGAATTACTACGTAAGTAGATAAAAAAGCAGGTAAGTAGATATTTACATGTTACATGTTATACCTACGAGTATATTGATATTATTTAATGTAATTTAGATGACAAAAATAATAATTTATTTATCAAATTAATATTACATTTGTTTATATAATCTAAGATTTTTAATTAAAATAATTGCTTTATTTTAAAGATTTCTTTATTAATCAATTTTTACACTTATTTAATATAAAATATGAACTTATTAAATACATCTGATCTTTTAAAATAAGTCTTTAGCCTGAAATGTCAATTGGAAGAAATATGTATTAACTTATTTGCTTCCTTTGGCAAACACTATCTATATATATATACATATGTATTCATAAGGTATTAAATTCTGTTTTTCTGTCACTACCGTCTATAAAAGTCTTTAAGTAGAGAAATAATACCTAATTAAAAGAACGTATTAAAATCGATCGTCATGACATCATTTCATAGGATATTGTTCGAAATGGTCTGAAAATTGTAGACCTTGAATGGTTGAAGCCATCGCGAATGTACTGATTGGTAACGAGATAGTCGATACGGTATCGAACCAGTGTACGATACCGCGGGACGTAATTGAAAAATGCGTAACACGATACTTGTAGCTCGAGACGCGTTGAAGTGAAATTTTGCTTCTGTGTAATTTTCGTTCCTACTATATCGCCGTGGCTTCGTCTTGTTGGTAACGATCGCGAAGAGTAACAGAATTTCCTTCAGCAAGAAAATGAGAAACTTGATATTTCCTGGCAACGTCTAATCGACGTACCAGACAGGCGTTTCAATGGAATCGAATTTCGTTTGAAGATACCTTGGCATCCATTCTTTTCTCTACTAAGAAATATATATTACCATGATAGTCAAATCCTTAATTTTAATACAAATAGAAATTTGTGTTATCAAAGCGTTAATAAAATACATAGATCAAACATTGAATTTCGTTAACTCTTTTACTATGAAGGACCAATCACTGTCTTTGATAAAAAGTTAGAAATAAAAGTTCATAAAAGTTATAATATATAATTGAGAGGGTCATAGCATATTATAGCAATAATAATGGTATGAAAACGAATTTGGAGATTTCAGGATCAACTTATCAAAAAGGGTAGAAAGTGGGAGAAAGGACTTTTAAAACATTTATCCAAGAAAAACTATTCTTTAAATTGATTTGATTTTTTGGATTTAAAGAAGAGATACACTTTAAATTATATTTAAGCAGATATAACTAAAAAATAATTAACCCCGTACTGACTATTGTACTGACTATGGCATTAACCTTCAGACGGTGGACGATGGAGGAAGCCTCAGTTTTCATTTAATTTTGTATTTTATGTTATTTTCATTTTCTAAATTTCACGCGGTTTCTATAAACATTAATATCCTAATATACATGAAACTCTTTGGTTTAAAAATGATACATTTAACTTTAGGTTGATACCCTTATATGTTTTGTAAGTTTGGGTGTCGATTGACCCAGGCTTCGCTGTTAAAGAAATAGATTTAATATGACTTCAAGATATAAATACTTTATTTTTAATAAAAATTTATGTTTAACGAAACTTCAAGTTGCATTTAATTTTTTAAATAACTTTCCAGGATCAAGTGAGATTAATTTATGCATACGTAGAAAATATATCTGTATAATAATGTAATTGTCATTTTTTGCCATAGTAATAACTATATCGTTGTCAATACCTGCTGTATAGGAATGGGTAGCTAAGCAAGTGACTGCCTGCGAGAAAGTTGTCACCAAAGTCCCTCTGGTGGCGAGTAACGAAAGTACCGTCACAACTACGTTCATACTATCAACAACCGTTAATATGCATCTATACTAACAGTAAGTATATTCTCAAAAGTTTCCAGTATGCACGAACCCTAAATGTAAAAAAATTGTCGAAATTTACATTTATTGACAGAATACCGTCCATTACATTTGAAACTAGTTCTCTGGAAGAGAAGTTGTCATTTCTCTCTTTTTTCCGTCCAATGTCATTCCGATGGTTTGACTCCGTATACAGAAAGGGCAATGCATAATTCGCGGCCCGAACGACTGGCGTTTCACGCGCGGCGTGTCGCGCGAGTGTAATCCAGAGTCCAATTAACGATAATTACGACGTCAATTGGGAATTCCTAATGGCGAACGAACGAACGAGGCCTTGCAGTCGAGCTAGCCCAAGTCGGGTTCGTTCGTTCTATTACTCGTTCGCCATGATTTTTGCAGACGGAGTAATTCGGAGCGCAAATTAAACCCGCTCCTCAGACTATAACGATGCCTTGCTTCTACCGTATTGATAAACGAGAACGTTTCGGCATTCTCTCAATACCGTGGCTCGTTTGGACGCTTCGGGACTCATTAGGACACGATTATTCCTAACAACCTGTCTCGGTGTATTCAAATTTCCGAATGTTCCATCAAACGTGTTAATTGTATCGTTGGTTGTTGAGACGAGGACTCATTATATGACCAGTTGTTGCAATTTCTGGTTGTATCTGTTTCGTTAACCCTTTGAAGATGAATTTCAAACACTCACGTTATTCGCAACGTTTACAATTTTTGACAATCAATATAAGTGTGCAATCCGAGGTATGACTCTTTTCTAAAATTCTGAAATTAATAACTTCTTTTCAGCCTTATGAAAATAGTGTGATTATTCCAGAAGACTTTTTATTAATAATAAATTGCAAAAGTCAATGATTTACAATTCGATTAAAATTAAAAAATTTCTGAATCATTGCA